TTACATATTACACTGCAGGACAAAAATAAGTGTCTTTCAATCGTACGAGGGTGAAAAGAAAAATATGGAAATTCGCGTGTAATAATAAACGAACCATGTAAAGTGTGACTGATTCGAACGTTTACGGGAACATATCGCTTACGAGCGTCGCATGAAGAATATAATCAGCCGGGGCGGGCTGTAATTTTCGCGACGTGTGTAAACGATACTAATGCGAGCATACGCGTTACGCGCTTGCTCGTAACGGGGATCCATTCATCTAAGCTAATTAAAACGGATTCGAGCGATCTTATCTAATTATAAAACGGAATCCGGGGGTGCATACCTGCGGTATGCCTGCCTATATCGGGGCTATACCGTCGCCCCCGCTCATGTCCGTTGCCCTCTCCCGGTAGTCGCGGAGTTCAGCGACAACTCACACCACGATGTCGCGCGGACATTACTAGACGTGGGCACCTACACGTGCGTGCACGCACGCACGCGTGGCACATCGGCGAGTAGCCGGTCGATCGTCGACTGCAACCAATGCGGACGAACGTAAATCATAACCGTTTCCAAGATGCAGGCTCCCACCTTAGGGATATACGCACATATATCCACCGCGTCGCCGGTTACCATTATCGCCCTCGCCTTTCCTCCGGCCCCCGGTACGCTTAATATATTTTCCTCCCCTTCTACTTTAATAATCCGCGCATACACCACCCCGGGCGTCGCGCGGCGCGCGGCGTCGAGGATCGATGAATTATGGAATCGAATCTCGGTGCATCGCGGGCGTTTTAGCGCGCCGGGACAGCACCGCCGCGCAATTTCCGACCGGCGCAGATGGACGAGGGTGATCCGTTTTCCTAGAGAAATTACGTAGTAGTACGTACTTCCGTGATTTCCGAGGTACGGATCGCATATCGCTCCGGGCGCGTTCGTACCGGAAGATCGCGCGATTCTTTATCCTTCGAGACGTTGCCGTGTATCGCGTTGTGAGATCGAGTGGCGCGAGAATAGTTTCTTCCGCGATCTTGATACGCGAAATATGATAGCGCAATAATGCGACCGGCAATAGCGCGATTTCCGCAAGAATTATTGCGCCGTCTTAACATTGTATCCATGTATTGATTGATATGGCGTAATTAAATGACATTTTATCCAAGCGCTTTTTTTTTTTTTTAATATCAATTGCAGTTATACACTTGTAAAAATATTTCGCAATTCGATATATCGTCAATTCGGTGTATCGTATTCCCGATAGGGTAAAATTTACCTGCGCTACGAGCTACGATTGCCGCGCAAAAGTCATCAGCGGACCAAGGATGCGCCGCTGCGTGTGGACCGGCGTTATATCAGGACCCGAAATAATTTATCGCTGATCCGACAAGAATTATTGCGCCCGATATAAATAGCATTTATCGGTGTGAGAGCCAGGGGATAATGTTCTACGCGGTAATTTAGTGTACATTAACGCGTTGGAATAGTAGACGGGCAGGGACTTACGGAATATTTAATTTAATAATCCGACTCTATTTACACGCTCGTCCCACGGTAGCCGTAAGTACGGCTTTATCGTTGCGATAAGATTAATTATAACGACTGGTGTATTCAGATTAACCCGCGGATAAAAATTCGCTGATTCGCGTTCAATTCTGCCGCGACTCAACTTGGGAGATGCGAGGCTCCTCTCCGTATAGATCCGAAATGTAAAAAACAAAATGAGTGGGCCGCGGGAATCACGCGGCGGAAGAGTTGTGCACGCAACTGGCAAACGATAAATTTTACTTAGAGCTCGCTGGCGAAATGTATAAGTACGCTGGTTTCGTGCGTAACTCGGCGAAAGACGCTGAAAAGCCCGGGGCGCGTAGGATACCCAGGGTTTCATCGATTTATATCTGCAATTCAGTTCCATTCGATCGAAAGTATATGTATACGTATACGAAACGTCGAACGTATTCATGCACGTGTGTATGTATACGCATACACACGCACGTAAAGTCAGCGTGGATTTTTCAGCAAAAGTCCATCGGCGATAGCAATACATGCTCTGTGGGTGTGCGAGCACGCGATACTCGTACACGCACACAACTCACGTCTCAACAGGGACGAAATCGAGCGAAAGAGCGATAACGAACGAGAAAGCGAGAGCGAGAGGATCTGGAAAGGCCAGAAACCGCTTGGAATCTTGAGGCGGGACACACGGACGGTGCACACGGTATATTTTTAGGCATTAAAATCGCTCCATAAATTAAATCCGCAAAAGGACGAGGCGGCCAGCCCGCCGGAATGAGACGGTACCGATGAACCGTTTCGGGGCCTTCTTGATTTTCTCCGCATCTCCGTGTAATCTTGTGGGAGATAAGGCCATAACATGACCTGACTTAACGCATCGTTCTGGAAGGAGAGTTGCAAAAAGGGGGCCTGACAAATTTCGAATAATTTCGACGCCCGGCTGAAGCAATGTCCAACCGAGTCAACAGTTTCCGGGCGTGATTGTTTGCGCAAATATCTCGACTGGACGTTGCTTTCGGGATGTATAAGAAACATCAAACAAAGTCTTCGTTGCAACATATACATATATGCAACAAATAATACATGCGTTGAAACACATATTTTGCAGTATAAATCTGTGAGAGGCTATCACTTAAGGTTTCTTTATTACAATATATGCGAGATTTTAATACACTATATCAGTGATAAAAGTATGAAGAGATAAAAAATATCTTAGAGATTAAGATAGAAATAATTATTTTATTATAGGTTTGAGAGGATTATACTGCAAGTGTCACAAATAGCATGTTTTTCATTGATATAAAAAATTAATTGTACAATACATAGTACATAATATATTTCAAATGTAAAGTTAGATTAATGATATGTATATGAAAAGTACGGAATATTCGAGGAGTATTCGAATTTTCGTTTTGATTTAAACTATATTTTTATTATTATTATTATTATTATTATTATTATTATTATTATTATTATTATTAGGCGTTAGGAACTCGAAAGCTCATTGCCGCAAATACCAAATCCCGCCACTGTTCCCGTCCCTGAGCCAGATCCCTCCATTTGTGACCCTCGTACCCCATTTCGTTAAGGTCCATTCTAATATTATCTTCCCATCTACGTCTTGGTCTACCCAATGGTCTTTTCCCATCCGGTTTACCAATTAGTACTTTATATGCAATTCGATTCTCATCCATACGCGCCGCGTGACCTGCCCATCTTAATCGACGCGATTTTATGACATTAATAATATCCGGACTATTATATAATTGATGTAATTCTGCGTTGTGTAATTTTCTCCATTCGCCCATTTCCTCATCGCGTTTTGCACCGATGATTTTTCGAAGTACTTTATTTTCGAAAACCCTAAATCTTTTCTCGTCTTGTAACGTAAGTGACCACGCTTCGCTGCCATAAAGGACTACCGGTAAAATAATCGTTCTGTAAATTCTAATTTTTAAGCGCCTAGACAATATCCGCGAACCGAGTAGTTTCTTAACCGAATAGAAGCACGCATTCCCCAAATTAATTCTTCTCTTGAGTTCTTCTCTTATTTCATTAGTTTGGTTTAAAATCGATCCTAAATACTTAAAATTGCTAACCCGTTCAAAAATTTTATCACAGACGACCAGGTTTCCGTTATTATGAATATTCTGAATTCTATCAGTGACCATATATTTAGTTTTTTCAACGTTTATTTGCAGCCCCAGTTCTTTCGTTTTATCTAATAGAATTTTAGCGTTATTTATTAGTGTTTCTTTATTATCTCCCAACAAAGCAATATCGTCCGCATATGTTAATATTTGTGTTGTACCGTTCAACTGCAAACCATCATTACTCTTCTGCATTTCTTTAATAGCATATTCCAATACTAGATTAAACAGAAGAGGTGACAATGCATCCCCCTGCTTTAATCCGCTATGAATATTAAAAGTTTCCGACATTTGATTACCTATTCTTACTCTACCTCTGGTATCTTTTAAACAAACTTGGACTAAGTTAGCCAATTTTTTGGGTATCCCCCACCGAGTTAAAATTTCATACATTTTCTCCCGTTTTATCGAATCATACGCTTTTTTAAAATCAATGTAAAGTTGATGTACCGATTGGTCGAATTCCCATTTTTTCTCCAAGATTTGCCGAATAGTAAAGATTTGGTCCGCAGTCGATCTATTTCTCCTAAAGCCGCATTGATGATCTCCAATTATCTCATCTGCATATGGTACAAGCCTCATTAATAAAATATTCGACAGAATTTTATAGCATGTAGGTAAAAGTGAGATACCCCGGTAATTATTACAACTCATTTTGTCCCCCTTTTTGAAAATCGGGATTATAATTGAATCTTTCCATTGTTCCGGCAATGCTTCTTTATTCCATATTAAGATAATTAATTTCTGAATTTCTTCTATCAATCTACTTCCCCCCCATTTAATCAGTTCCGCCGGAATCAAGTCATTACCCGGTGCTTTGTGATTTTTTAATTTTTTAATCGCGCTTTCTACTTCTGAAATTGTCGGTTCGTTAATCCTAGGTTCAGCCGTGTGATACTCAAAATTCTCTATTTCCCGGTCGTTTTCAGATTCGACATTCAATAACCGATCAAAATAATTTTTCCATGTGTTTAAAACTGCCGTTGTATCCGTAATTAAATTACCGTTCTCATCCTTCACCATTTCCGTCCTAACTTGGAATCCCTTTCTAAAATTATTTATCCCCATGTACATGCCTCGTACGTTACTGCTTTTACAATTTTCATCTATTTCTTCAATTTTACGTTTTAAGTATTGACGCTTCTTAATTTTAAACATATTATGAGCCTCTTGCCTAATATTAAGAAACTGATCCCGAGTTTCCTTCGTATTTTGAGCCAACCACGTGATACGCGCTTCGTTTCGTACTTTAACAATTTTTACGCATTCTTCGTCAAACCACGGCTTGTTTTTGTTCCTTTTACAAAAACCAACCGTGGCCTCCGCCGATTTTACTATCGCATCGCGTACGTTTTCTCAGTGTTTATCAACCGTGTTATCATCCGATTCATCTATTTCCTTTGAAGCCGCGAGTCTATTCGTTACTTCGACCGCGTATTTTATTCCGTTTTCTCCCTCGATCAAACCTTGTACATTTAGACGTTTAGTTCCAAACAACTGCCCGTTAGTTTTGTTTAGCGAAAGACGTTCCCTGATTTTGGCAATTACAAAGAGGTGATCCGAGTCGCAATCCGCCCCCCTATAAGACCTGACATCGAGTACGTTCGTGTGACGCCGTTTATCTGCAAGAACGTGATCAATTTGGTTACGCGTGCCTCCATCCGGGGAAATCCAAGTTTGTTTATGGATATTTTTGTGTTTAAAATACGTGCTTTTGACGATAAGATTTTTGCCGGTCGCAAAGTTAATTACCCTCACTCCGTTATCGTTACTTTCCTCATGCAAACTTTCGAGCCCGATCGTTGGTCTAAAAATGTCCTCTTTACCGATTTTCGCGTTAAAATCTCCCACGACTATTTTCATGTAATCGTTCGGTAATTGATCCACGAGGTGTTCGAGTTCTTCGTAGAACCCGTCTTTAATTTCGCCATCTTTATCTTCCGTCGGCGCGTGTACGTTGATTATCGCGATCTTGTACCATCGGCCCTGCACAACGAGCAATCCTAATCTTTCGTTTATAAATTTAATGTCTTTTACCGCGGATAAGATTTTCCTATTAATCATAAAACCGATGCCAAGACTATGGATCTCCGACCCTCCATAGTGAAGCGTGTACGAACCCGCATTAAGCGAACCCTCCCCGGCCCATCTTGTTTCTTGCAACGCGACGACTTCTACCCCGTACTTTTCGACCTCCCCGACCATCGATTGAAACGCCCCAGGTCTGTAAAGACTTCGGACGTTCCACGTACCCACTTTGATATCTCTCCCGTTTTTTGACTTTATGCGACATGAGTTCCCCGAGGTAGTCCCCACCCGGAGATCCGAACGGAGGACTAGTTTACCTCCGGAAAATTTTACCCCAGAAGAATCCATGACGAGCTTTGGTTGTTTCTAGATAAAGTTGTTTCACGGTGTGAGCCTATCAAACCCACGCCCAACCCCCCAAACAGGAGGACCATTTCCAATCGGCTGTCCGCGACTGCTTATTCAATTTATTCGCAGCTAACCTCTATCCTCAACCGAGATATAGAAAAAAAATATATATATTATATATAAATCACATAATTTATACGAAAATTGGACAAAACATTCTTAAACATTCTTAAACCGTATTAGTTCAAACTAGGATCATGCAACGGAATGTCACTCGGCCAATAAAATTAAAATTTTTATTGCAGTCTTCTTTTATGCTATTTTTATTAACGATGTAGTTATATGTGCCCTTTCTCATCCCATCGATATCTATATGCATACATATATAATAGCGACTTCTAGATTGTAAAACTTTGGTATTATAAAGATCACCGAGTGGCTTCCACTTATAGGATATTTATCGAGATATAAAAATACTTCGACCATATTTTGCTACTTTCTTGATATGTAAGATATTTTTCTGTTTAATCTCGTCCGTCGATTCGAAAGTGTGAATAAATTTTCGATTGATTGCATAATATTGTGTATCGCAATGATCGTAGATTCATAGTTTATTCGGTGATATTCGCTACCAAGATTTACGATAGACATTTTTATGTTCGCAACATCGATCGCGATAATTCACTGAATTCATGATGAATGCAATATGGTAAAATCTCACGTTACACGAAACACTGTAACAAATACTTGAGAAATATTTCGGCGAAATTTCAATCCGTTTACAATTCTTTTTATTAGTTTTATAACACAAAGTGGCTGTTATTTTATTTTAATAGCTTTCTATAAATGAATAATTTCCAAGAATAAAAAATTGTGTAAGTCAACATTTATAAATATTTGTGCTTCTCATTAAAATACGCGATCAAATTTCGACACATGTTGTAAAAAAGAAAGCGATTATTATAAGAAAACAGTCATTATTTTCACAAACATAAGTTATTTCTTTCTGCTTTAAAATACGTGCTACGTATATTTCTACGAATAATTACATGAACATGACGGACAATTGATCAAACGTCACGTAATTGATATAAATGGTAGCAGCGCAGAATAGATTCGCGATTAGTTTATTTATCACTACTGCTCTCTTGCAGCGCAAATCAGCTACCCTATTTAATTAACGACAATCGATCACGGTGTGTTTTTGCGACATGGCAATTTCTATGTGAAGCGCACGTTGCACAATTTCATTCGCCAGATTGTTAGCGGATCATCCGGACAGGAGCAGTGATCGTTATGTAGTCATTTCCGTTCTCACACTGGAAAAACGGTATAGAGTACGATATAGAAAAATATTGGATAATACAATGGAACGAACGATATAAATTTCTTATGATCTGAAAAAATGAAGAAATGTTGAATTTTTGAATTGATAGCTTTTGATAACTTTACCCGATATATGACAATAAAATTTTAAAATAATATAATTAATGAGAAATTTGAAATGTTTTTTTAATTGTTTTAATTTAGTGCTTATGTTTGTGTCTTATTAAATTATTACTTCTATATTTATTTTTATTTATTAATTATTTATTGATTATCGATTATATAATCATCCTTTGATTATTTTCCACATTTCTGAAAAAAATATCTGAGAAATAATGTTGACAGTCATCATTTTTTCTCTCGTTGGACTAGCAGTTTTTGAAGTAGGAAATAAAAGGATAGATAAGATATTTTGTTATTTCTCGAAATTGTTTGTATTAAAAACGAAAAGCGTTTAGAATATTTTGCGCGCTTAAATTTTGCAAAAACAAGAGTAAAAGTGAATTGTTTAATTCTCGTTTTTCTTCTAGAATATAAAATTCGTCCATGCTGCTGTTTGCAATTATAAGTTTGGCAACAATTATCTGTAAAAATTTAGTCTGAAAGAATTGCAGAATTAATTTATCCCACCTCTTTTCGTATCGTCATTTTTTTTCATAATGTGCGTGTGGTGAGAGAAAAAGAATAAAATTAGAATCTTTGGAAACGGAGTTTTTATTTTCATGTCGTCTCTTACTTTAATTTTATCTATGAAAATCTTTTCAATTTTATACTCAAACTAAAATTAGTGCATCCTCTCGCATATTGTTATTCTCATGAGCACCAGTACAGTGTAACAGCGGTGTCCAGTTTTCACTGAGTCGATAGCGGTTTATCTTTGCGCATATTGACTGACTCACGTATATACACGAGGAATACGGAGCGGTCTCTTCAAGAGAACACGACCCAAATGAAAAGCACGTGTATGTACGTGTACGCAGGTAGGTGTATATACAGGTGAGCCGCGAACCCGTGCTTGTAGCCCTTCGGGCTATGCACCGGCGCTCAATGCCGACCCGAAGGAGAATGAAGGATGAGGAGCGCGAAAAGGGAACGGGAGTAAGCCAGGGACCTCGTAAGACACGTGAAACTGACCAATAGATCCGGTTTAGCGAGTTTCCGGATTCCACGGGGTCATCGAGTGGGCCCCTCGGTTTGCGCAAGGAGAGTTATCCCCGTCACCGCTTCTCCTTCGGTTCCCTCGTTCACAGATCAGGGAGAGAGAGAGAGAGAGAGAGAGAGAGAGAGAGAGAGAGAGA